CCAGAATGTCCTTATAACATTTTGGTCTAATGATCGGATCTATACCTTTTCTAACAGTGCATGTGTCGGGGCTGCACGTAATTATTTTAATTCATATATGCTGATCGATGAATCTATCTCATGGAAGACCATTTGTACAGCGCACCAAAAAAAAACAGAATGTCCTGATAACATTTTGGTCTAATGATCGAATCTATACGTTTTCTAACAGTGCATGTGTCAGGGCTGCACGTAATTATTTTAATTCATATATGCTGATAGATGAGTCTATCTCATGGAAGACCATTTGTACAGTGCACCAAAAAAAAACAGAACGTCCTGATAACATTTTGGTCTAATGATCGGATCTATACGTTTTCTAACAGTGCATGTGTCAGGGCTGCACGTAATTATTTTAATTCATATATGCTGATCGATGAATCTATCTCATGGAAGACCATTTGTACAGTGCACCAAAAAAAACAGAATGTCCTGATAACATTTTTGTCTAATGATCGGATCTATACGTTTTCTAACAGTGATGTGTCAGGGCTGCACGTAATTATTTCAATTCATATATGCTGATCGATGAGTCTATCTCATGGAAGACCATTTGTATAGTGGACCAAAAAAAACAGAACGTCCTGATAACATTTTGGTCTAATGATCGGATCTATACGTTTTCTAACAGTGCATGTGTCAGGGCTGCTCGTAATTATTTTAATTCATATATGCTGATCGATGAATCTATCTCAAGGAAGACCATTTGTACAGAGCACCAAAAAATAACAGAACATCGTGATAACATTTTTGCCTAATGATCGGATCTATACGTTTTCTAACAATGCATGTGTCAGGGCTGCGCGTAATTATTTTAATTCATATATGCTGATCGATGAATCTATGTCATGGAAGACCATTTGTACAGTGCACCAAAAAGAGCATAACGTCCTGATAACATTTTGGTCTAATGATCGGATCGATACGTTTTTTAACAGTGGTGTCAAGGCTTGCACGCAATATTTTTTATTAATTTATGCTGATCGATGAATCTATCTCATGGATGACCAATTGTACAGTGCATCAAAAATAAACCAGAATGTCCTGATAACATTTTGGTCTAATGATCGGATCTATACCTTTTCTAGCAGTGCATGTGTCGGGGCTGCACGTAATTATTTTAATTCATATATGCTGATCGATGAATCTATCTCATGGAAGACCATTTGTACAGCGCACCAAGAAAAAACAGAATATCCTGATAACATTTTGGTCCAATGATCGAATCTATACGTTTTCTAACAGTGCATGTGTCAGGGCTGCACGTAATTATTTTAATTCATACATGCTGATAGATGAGTCTATCTCATGGAAGACCATTTGTACAGTGCACCAAAAAAAACAGAACGTCCTGATAACATTTTGGTCTAATGATCGGATCTATACGTTTTCTAACAGTGCATGTGTCAGGGCTGCACGTAATTATTTTAATTCATATATGCTGATCGATGAATCTATCTGATGGAAGTCCATTTGTACAGAGCACCAAAAAAAACAGCACCTCCTGATAACATTTTGGTCTAATGATCGGATCTATACGTTTGCTAACAGTGCATGTGTCAGGGCTGCACGTAATTATTTTAATTCATTTATGCTGATAGATGAGTCTATCTCATGGAAGACCATTTGTACAGTGCACCAAAAAAAAAAACAGAACGTCCTGATAACATTTTGGTCTAATGATCGGATCTATACGTTTTCTATCAGTGCATGTGTCAGGGCTGCACGTAATTATTTTAATTGATATATGCTGATCGATGAGTCTATCTCAATGAAGACCATTTGTACAGTGCACCAAAGAAACAGAGCGCCCCGATAACATTTTGGTGTAATGATCGGACCATTTGTACAGTGCACCAAAAAATTAAAAAAACAGAACATCCCGATAACATTTAGATATAATGATCGAATCTTCACGTTTTCTAACGGTGCATGTGTCAGGGCTGCGCGTAATATTTTTTTATTTATATACGCTGACTGATAAATCTATCTAGTGGAAGATCATTTGTACATTCCAAGAAAAAGCCTGATAAAAGTTTGATCTTATGATCGGATCTTTACGTTCTAGTACTCCATCTTAATGTCTTGAGAGGGTGACCTTAAATATGCTAATTATTAAGCTCCGACGATTATTTAAGTTATTAAATCAGACATAAAAACGTACTTTCTCTGAATAAACATACCTTTTTTTTTGACGGATTCGGATTTTTGATCCCCAAAATATAGGGCGTGGTCACAATCTGGAAAATATGATTCCAATTGTGACGAACATGATTCCCCTTAATGTTAATTTGATTTTTTTTGCTTATTTCGCCATGTCTCACGGACGCTTTAAGCAAATTAAACAATTTTTGCACAAAATTATAAAATTCATCTATCCAGGTATAATTCTATGCAAAAAATAAATTTTAATAAATATTTACTATTTTTATTATTTTATTTAATAAAAGTCGTAAAACTTTTGAATCGTAAGGTATATACTTATTTTTTAATAATTTTACATGGCAAAATGCAAAATTTGAGTGAAATCGGTAGAATACTTCCTGAGGAATAGAATTTCAAATAAGGCTTTTTTAAAATTTCTATATCTCAGCAACTATTCTACCGATTTCTTTACTATCGTTTGAACATTTTATTTTGTATTTTAATTTAATTAACTCACTAATTTGCATTTAAGTCATTCCCTTGGATCATCAAGATTGCTCTTTATTGCATGGGAATTCGATAAGATTGAATTTTAATCGTAATTAAACAATTTTTTTTATGTGTGTAAATTTTATTGAATCATCGTGAAAACATGAGATGTCTAATTAAATCTATGAATGATGCAAAATAATAAAATAAATATGCTTATTCGGAAAAAAAGCGTTTGTCTCAGATCTTGAATTTTAATTTAATAAACACACTAATTTGCATTTAAGTCATTTCCTTAATACATTAAGATTGCGCTTTATTACTTGGAAATTCGATAAGATTGAATTTTAATCGAAATTATACCATTTTAGGCTGTGCAAATTTTATTGAATTGAAAAAAAGTGAAATGTCAAATAAAAACCATGAATGATGCAAAATAATGAAATAAGTATGCTTGTCTCAGATTTTGCAATTTAATTAAATTACATTAATTTGCATTTAAGTCATTCCTTCGAATATTCAACATTGCTTCTTAATACTTGGAAATTCGATAAGATTGAATTTTATTCGTATTTATGCCATTTTTTTTTCTGTGCAATCTTTATTGAATCATCGTGAAAAAAATGAAATGTCAGACATAAACCATGAATGATTTAAAGTAATAAAATAAGTATGCTTGTCTCAGATTTTGTAATTTAATTAAATTACATTAATGTGCATTAAGTCATTCATTCGAATCATCAACATTGCTTCTTATTACTTGGAAATTCGATAAGATTGAATTTTAATCGTAATTATACCATTTTTTTTCTGTGCAAATTTTATTGAATCTTCGTGAAAAAAGTGGAATGTCAGATATAAACCATGAATGATGCAAAATAATAAAATAAGTATGTTTGTCTCAGATTTTGTAATTTAATTAATTTACATTAATTTGCATTTAAGTCATTCCTTCGAATCATCAACGTTGCTCCTTATTACTTGGAAATTCCAGAAGATTGAATTTTAATCGTAATTATATCATTTTTTTCTGTGCAAATTTTATTGCATCATTGTGAAAACAATTTAATGTCAAATAAAACCATGAATTCAAAATAATGAAATAAGTATGCTTGGCACAAATTTTGTAATTTATTTAAATTGCATTAATTTGCATTTAAGTCAAACCTTCGAATCATCAACATTCCTCCTTATTACTTGGAAATTCGATAAGATTTAATTTTAATCGTATTTATGCCATTTTTTTTCTGTGCAATCTTTATTGAATCATCGTGAAAAAAATGAAATGTCAGATAAAAACCATGAATGATTCAAAGTAATAAAATAAGTATGTTTGTCTCAGATTTTGTAATTCAGTTAAATTACATTAATGTGCATTAAGTCATTCATTCGAATCATCAACATTGCTTCTTATTACTTGGAAATTCGATAAGATTGAATTTTAATCGTAATTATACCATTTTTTTTCTGTGCAAATTTTATTAAATCATCGTGAAAAAAGTGAAATGTCAGATATAAATCATGAATGATGCAAAATAATAAAATAAGTATGCTTGTCTCAGATTTTGTAACTTAATTAATTTACATTAATTTGCATTTAAGTCATTTCTTCGAATCATCAACATTGCTTCTTATTACTTGGAAATTCGATAAGATTGAATTTTAATCGTAATTATATCATTTTTTTCTGTGCAAATTTTATTGAATCATTGTGAAAAAAATTTAGTGTCGAATAAAATCCATGAATTCAAAATAATAAAATAAGTATGCTTGTCTCAGATTTTGTAATTTAATTAAATTGCATTAATTTGCATTGATCCTTCGGATCATCAACATTGCTCCTTATTACTTGGAAATTCACTAAGATTGATTTTTAAATGTTTTGAAAAATGTATTAAAAATAGGCCGCAAGCTAAACACACAACTCTAATGAAAGTAATAAAAAAACGAAGCATAAAATTTACATACATAATAAAATCTGTTTTAATTAAAAATAAATTTTGCTTATGCTATCGTTATCAGCGAGACTGCTACGAACCCGTATAACGTTAGATAAAATTTATAACGTTATTATAAATTAAATCAAACGTTATTATCGTTATACAACGAGAAAAAATAATCATTTCTGTAGCACATGACGCACTTTAGTTTCAAAAACCACCAATTAAAAACATTTAAAATCAATTTCGTAATGTCGTTATAAATTAAATAATTTTTGAAATCCTTAATCTCGACGACATTTCGATTTATGAGTAAAGTTGAATATGCTCTATGAAGCATAACTTTCTATATATAGAATTTAAAATAAAATTTTAAATTTATTTTACCTGAATGAGCGACAGTCGTATCCATTTGAGGTGGATAACCAATGACCAAGTATCGTAAATATAAAATGAAATTTCTACATGTTTAACAGTCTAGGTAGTAACGCATAATAGTCTGGTGCGTGATAGGAACTGGATCGGAAGTGTGAGCATAAATTGATAACTGTTCAAGGAAACTAAAAATAAGTTATCAGAACTGATAAGTAAGGCAACAACAGATAGCTGAGAATTTAATGTTGTACAGGAAAAAACTAAATTTGTTTCGCATTTAAAAAAAATTACAATCAAAGTTCAAAAATAAAAAAAACGCTCATAATATTTGAAAAATAAAAGTTTTTAGAAAAAAAAAAATTTCGTAAAGAAGTAACTAATAACTCAAAAAATTTAAATGAACATGTTAAATAGTACTAAAATGAGTGTTTTATTAATTAAGCAAGGATATCTGCAATGAGCAACTTAGTATCTTTTAGAGTATTATCAGAAAAGGAAGTCCAAATAATATAAAAACAAATTATTAATTATATTAATCAATATTAATTATCATTAATTATTAATTAATTAAATAATATAAATTAATATTAAATTTCAAAATGTAATTCTTTTATACAACAAAGATGCATCCAGATATGGCATACTAACCTTAGCAACTAAGAGTGTACCAACCCCTTAAAAATTTCATTTACTATAAATAATATTAACTAATAATACATAATCATTATTCACATAAATATTACTTTAGGATTAAGAGGAAAAAAAGCAAAAGCGTGTCAATGTTAATTAATTATTAAATAATTATAATATAATTATTTAATTTCATAATGTAAATTAATATTCCTAATTATAATTATTTCATAAAAAAGATAAATCGAGACATGTTATGCTAACCTTAGCGACATAAAGGATACCAACCCCTTAAAAATATTATTTATTCCAAATAATATTAACTAACATTAACTAAATTCATTTTTCACGTAAATATTAATTAAACGTTATTTTTAATAGTTAAGTGAGAAAAAAAGCAAAAGCGTTTCCAAATATTAACGAATCATTATTGAGGTCAGGAATAGTAAGGAAGGGATTAAAATCTTCAAGAGCTAGTTTATTCGTCTAAACGAGAGACTAAAAAGTTACATTTGCTGGGATTTTCCTGCAAAAATTTAATCTTCGTATAAGTTGGAAACTTCCTTTAAGATTTGTGTAGTGTGCAAATTAAAAAAGGAATACTTGAATACCGCTCCATCTACTGATGGGATTTTCAGCACTGTTATATTAAAAACCAACCTGCAAAGCTTTGCCTAAAAACATTACCTAACCAACCTTAACCTAACCAACCTTGATTACCAACCTTTGCATAAAAACATTTTAGACAAAAATTATTAGAAATAAAAAAGTAAAGAAATAAGCATTTTACACAAATTAGATAATCAATAAGAATATTTTTAATACAAAGCAACAGTTTTTGAGATCAAGATACGGTAAATTGTGAAGAATAAAAACTTCCAATTTGTAAATATAAGATTTTGATAGACAATTTTTATTTCAATTGTGTTAGAAATTTGGATTCCGTTTGTATTATTAATATTAATTTTAAAAATAATATTTTCCTTTTTATTATAATATTTGATTTGTAAAATTGCCTCACTAATAGGTGTAACTTGGAAATCACTTTGCAATTCCCTCTCATTGTTTTAAGTTCAAACATTTTAGAGATATTGAATGAAAAAAATACGAATAAAATGACGGAATTATCATTAAATAAGTAATATTGATACACAAAATTAATATTTTTCATCCAACACACACATCAATATAAAAAGTTTTCAAAAATTCCATGCTAAGGTTTTAAGAATATGAGTGACTCTTAACAAGTCATGCTTTTCATATCTAAAAGACAACTAATTTCTTAAAATATTGAGAGGCTTCTATAATATATAAAAGAGAAAATATATTGTATATCAGGTGTTCCCAACCCCATGTCCGCGGGCACCATGGAACCCGTCGATCAGTCTAGGTGTGCCCGCTGTTTGTGCCCAACTAAAAAATATTTCAGCTTTGCATTTTCCCATAAAATGCTATGCATTTTTTTTTTTTAACTTTTTCAATATTGATGATAAACTCAACCAAAATCAAAATCGCCAGGAAAACGACCTCCATCCCCACATATATAAGCACAAACAAAATATAACTGACCTATTTTCCACTCGCGCGAAGTCTTCGCCACACTAATTTCCCACACCTGAAATAAAATGAATCGGTCCATTTTTAAGGTTGCCGTACTACGAAGGCGTTTTTCCGAAACTCGTCTCGAGAAAATTACATTGAAATAACGTTCATTCGTTTTGCCTAATTCTTTTACGATTCATGGTTTCTATGTTCATATTTTTGGTATACAGCGTTTACTACTTTATTATTTTTAAATACTTCCTATTTGTGTGTGCTTACACTAAGAATAGTAGATCAAGCAAAAGAGAACGTACCTATAATTTTAATTCCGAATGCTTCTTCAATTCAAAAGATAAATGTGTTTACTTCTTATGTAGAATTAGTGTTGCCGTGCCGAAAAAACATAATGTTGAAAGCTATTTGCAAACAGTTCATTCTACTCTTAAGCCGAGCTATCCACTTAAAACTGCAATTTGAAAAAAGAAAATCGAGCAGTTAAAATCAAATTTTTCGGTCCAACCGTCACTTTTTACAAGTTCCAAGATAAAGCCATGATGGCTCAGGGGATAGAGCGTTCACCTTCAATTGAGGCGAACCAGGTTCGAATCCCAGTCGATACGAATTCCGCATCCGGCTTGCACCGACCACCGTGGTGGCGTGATATATCCTCAGTGGTAGACAAATCATGGGTTAGAGTCCCCTTGCGGTCAGGATAACAGTGGGAGGTTCTCGTGGTCTTCCTCTCCATGTAACGCAAATGCGGGTTAGCTCCATCAAAAGGTCCTCCACGAAGACAAATTTTTACCAATACTCGATCCAGGAGTTCCCTTGTCTTTTGAATTGGTTTCAAAATTACGAGGCTACGGAGTTGAACATTAGCAGTCGTAAACCCATAAAATTGGGTCGGTTGTTCAACGACTGTTATAAAATAAAATAAAAGTACTAAGATAAAATCTAAAAATGCCACTATTGCTTCTTCAAAAATTTCTCATATGCTCTCAAAGAAGAAAAAGCCCTTTCTAGATGGTGAGTTGTTAAAAGAAACATTTCTTACTAGTTCTGATTGCTTATTTGAGGGATTTTCCAACAAACGTGAGATCATGTCAGCAATACAAGACTTATAGTTATCACTTAATACTGTTACAAGAGGAAAAGGGACCATTTCAAAAGATATGCAAACGCAGCTGAAGAGTGATTTGGAAATTTGTGAGTGGTTAGCGATTCTCACTACAGTTTGACGAGTCTACAGACATAGCAGAAACAGCACAGTTAGCAGTTATGGTGAGAATGGTACTTACTGATTTTACAGTAAAAGAAGAGCCACTAAAAATATTGCCCATAGAAGGACAAACAACAGATGAGGATACTTATAAATTATTTATAACATATGCAAGTTTGATAAATATGCCTCTCCAGAAGCTGTCTGCTGTAACCACTGATAGGACACCAGCAATAGTGGGAAACATGAATGGTTTTATTGCCCCCTGTATAAAAGATTGGTCATTTCGAGTTTTTATGTCGTATCACTACATTATTCACCAGGAATTTTTGTGCTGTAAAGTACTACCACTTGGACACGTAATGAAAATTATTACCAAAATAGTAAACTTAATTCGAGCAGCTCCCTTGCAACATCGACTTTTCAAGGCCCTGTTACAAAATCCTGATGATGCTGACCTCATTTTACATACTGAAGTACGCTGACTCAGTAAAGGCAAAGTACTTGATAGAATTATACATTTAATTGAGGAAATAAAATAATCATCGTGCAGCCAAAAATCAAATATTTTTGGAGCTAAGAGATCCTCTTTGGCTAGCAGATTTGTCTTCTGTAACATACATCTTTCGTAACAGACATAATGGAAAAACTGAATAATTTAAACTTGAAGCTGCAGGGAAAGAACAAATGTGTAACAAGTATGATAGGGGCTATAAACTCGTTCAGAGCTAAACTAATTTTGTGGATGCCGCATTTGAAAATGAAGTCTCCTGTGCATTTTCCAGACATGAAAAATAGGATAGGTGACAGTGAAATTGACTCATCAACATTAGTCATTAACCTCCATTTGCCTTAAGATCAATTTGAAACACGCTTTCAATAATTTAATATCATCGAGCCTATGGTCACTTTTTTTGTAAATCCTTTTACCAACCAAATAAACGTAACCGAAATAGCAACATGCATTTCAGAATTTCTTCAAGTAAGGCGAGAAGAAGTGGAGATATGAATTTTGAATCTTCAGAATGACATTATCCTCAAAACTATTACATCTTATGGGAAATTCTGGAATATAGTAGACAGATATAAATTTTTATTCTTAAAAAAAGCAGAATTTAAAACAAAGTCGTTTTTTGGTTCCACATATTTGTGTGGATCATTATTTTCGATAATGAATATCATAAAACCAAAATATAGATCATGACTTCCAGATGAACACCTTGACGATTGCTTGCGAGCAGGAATTTCATCATATTCATCCAATTATGAAACGCTGGCCCGTGAAATACATTGCCAAAGATCACATCGACTATATTTTATGTATTTTATGTATTTTATGAATAATTTTTATACTTCGTATGTTTTACAAGCAATTTAGTAATCATTCATTCTACACAAGAATATTAATACTAATTGTATTCATATGTTAAATTATTCTGTAAAATTAAATTTTTTGTGCATTATATGTAGTGTGTATTATTACCTATGCTTACCAACTATAAGTTTATCTTGAAAAAATAAATAGTGCCTGCCATTCGACCAATATTCTTGCTCTTAATTACAAAAAGGTTGTGGACTTCTGTTATATATTATATATTAGAGTATAGTATAATTTATATATTTAAGAGAAAAGATATTATAATTGCTTCGAAAACAATCGCTTTGTTCTACAGTTCTTTTTGTTAAATAGAACATTAGAAATATTTCGGTTATATCATTTAATATCTGTTAAATACATATACTGTTCCTTGGAATCTGATGGTGCTATCCCTGGAAATTTTCGGCA